AGCGAGCCTTTGACACTTCACGTGGCCTCAAAGTGCACCTAGCCTGGCACAGGCGTCGTGGTGACGTCAACGGGACTTAGTGGTCAGATATTGGTATTGGAGGGAGTGGATTTGAGGTCGAATCAGGGACCTCTGGATTGCAATTCCAGGGTGCTGATCCTTACACCGTGGCAGCATCACGTGGTGTAGCTGGGCCTAGGCAAGCTTTAGTGAAACTAAAGTGCATTGTCCCTTGGTGACTGGGCTGAGTCCTGGGAAAATCCCATTCCCCATACCTCTCAACCCCTTCTCAGTGCCCTACCTTATTACAGATCACTTTACACATTGTTGGTCAACCCCTTCCTTTTATAAGTCTCAACGTTCATCCTACAAAGTCCCATAACAAGGGATAAACACAAACAAATAGACACAAAAAAAATTGCCCGTATTGAAAAGGCTGTACGCCGTATGGACCTGAAAATAATTTCCCTGTACAAGAATACGGGTAAACCGTATGGGTTGACAGGTATGGTTTCATCTTCTTGGTTCTTTCGGTAAAGTCACGTAGAATGGAAATATTAAAATAATAAAAAATAAAACAATAAATAATTCTCACGACGTTTCGGGCCACAACGCAAGCAGCCGTCCTCAGGTGAAGAACAGGTCTGTCGAGAACACAGAGTCTGCCACAACTTAATTGAAAACCAAGCTAACATTGTGGGTGAGGGTTCCACAGCAATAGGGGGCACAACAACCATATAAATATTTGGCGCCGTGGCACGGTTCACTTTGTTTAGCCAGGTGAAAACTCAAGACACCAGCACAGTCTTATTCCAATGAGTGACCTCAGATCACCAAAAATAACGAAAGCAAAACACAAAGTACCACGCAATGAATACAAAAACAAATATGAATGCTGAGTGCATTTGTGCCGTGAACCTGGTGGACTCTGAAATAGATTCCTAGCCACGGCTAACATTCGTGGTGAGTGACAAATTAACAGTATCCTGGCCCTGACCCCATTCCCCCTCCAGCACCAACCTTCGCCAATCCACATAGAGCGGTGTGGTGGATATCTTCAAGCAACGCCAATAACTGCTATCGATATAATCTATCTAGTGTTAATGTTACCAGGTAAGGCCAACTGAGCTATATCACTCCTTTTCAGAAGCCACCTGGCCACACGCGATAGCTCAATGAAGTGGCGTGTCATCGTGTGGAAAATGTTTCTCAGCCAAGCACTCTAAACGCGTGTTGTTTCTAAATGTGAAATATCCACTGAGAGAACATGCAAACTTCAAGCATGCAGGCGCCAGGGTCGGGATGGAATCTACGACCTCCTGTATGCCAGGTGAGATCGTTAACATCTCGCAACCGTGGCGCCACCGTGGATAAAGGGCGTGGGAAGGCCTTCATCCAGCCGTCGATTTCTTGAAATAAAACTGGAATCTACATTCATGATCACGTGCTGTGAGTGCCTCTTACGGTTGTATTGCTAGTCTGGAAAGCAAACATTGGCGGAGGCATATCAGGAATTTACCCACCCATGGCTTGCAGGGAGCTGGACTCGAAGGGAGGCAAGACTTGACATGCATTGCGACACAAAAAATGTCCCACCCGGTGGGATTTTCCCCTTTTCTCAATCGCCAAACTGTTTTTGCTGATTTATACGTTCATTTCATTCCACCCTCATCGGGCTCGCACCACAACGACTTCTCGCGATGTTTTAGTATTTAATCAATTGCATTCATTGCCTTTGGGGCAGGGTACAGCAGCCGCAAAAGCGCTTTCGTACGCACTTCTTCGGCCGTCTGGAACGCTCTTCCGATAATAGGAAGCCACTGGAGCTATGTACTTTTGAATGATCTCGATTGAAAACTCACTCATTTAGAACTGCCTTTTGTATTCAGTCAGTTGCCTTTCTCCAGCACCTTTGATCGGCACGGTTGGCTACGTACGATGCGAAAGAAGTTCAACGTACATACACAGCGTCGCTGCGCGGGACCTTTTTCAGTGAGTGACAGCACTGACTAAGGGTGTGCGTAAATGCGCACTTAAGAGCCCAAAGGTATTTCACCCCTGGCGTGGGCCATTATTGGAGTCATCATGCTGGGCATGCGGCAGCCGCACTCGTGTTCGGGACGGCGCATGCCAATGGCGGAGTGGCAGCCAAATGTTTCATGTTTTCTGAGTGACGCGTCACAGGGGCTAAACACGTGCCCCAGGGGCGAGGAGGAGTATCAGTGCACACGAGTCTAACAAGACGGCGGCCACAGCTGGTTCAACGGCGACTGCACCAGCAGTGGCATCAAATCCTCCAGAACGCAACCCGAGTTCTGTTAGATCTCAGAAATGTAGCCAGACGAATTGGCAGGGAGAGCAAGCGAGCGAGCGAGTTGCCAAAAGTTCACGTCGCAGTTCTTGAGCCAGGCCAGTGACTTGTGGGGTGAGCTGGCGGTTGGCTTCTCTCCGCCTCCTCCGAATGAGAGCGGAGGGCGCGCCAATCGACGAGGTGCTCCATTGATTTGCGAGCACGGGGACCGTGCCCGCTACCGGCGGTGTCGTTCGCCCGCCGGCTTGCGGGGTCAACAAATGAACGCATTGGCGATGCAACAGACCGGTGGTGGTGCGCGGAATAAAAAAAATGTTTCAAACAAAAAATCGCAATAATTAATCATTTTTTTCCCCACGATTCGCAACCCCCCCGGTCAGAAAATCTTGCGGGGTGCGTCGAAATCAGTTCTCGAAGCGGTCAGAAGGCGAACGTTCTGAGCGGCTGAACACGAAGCTTCACACAGTCTGTGGTCGGAGAGCGGCACCCAGCCTGACGACGATTGTCTGGCTCCGTGTCCCAAAGGCGACAAGATTTGACTCCTCGTGCCCTAGACCTTGGTGAGATGGTTCCTCGATTCATTTCCGGAAAAAAATTTTCTTGGCGGACGGTGGCACCAAAGGATCACGACTCACGTCAACACGCTCGAGTGGTTAAGCGGCCGCTGAACCACGAGTCGCATTCTGACAGCGAGTCCTGCAAAGTTCACTCAAGGGACAACAGCGACGTCGTCGAGGTGCGGGGAGGGGAGGTAGGACAAGAAACATAAAAAAACTGTTCTAAAGAAATTCGTTTTTAATCGAGATTTCAAAGTGCATTGCTCCAATGGCTTCCTAATATCGAAAGGAAGAGCGTTCCAGACGGTCACACAAGTGCATCTTACAAAACTAAGTTGTTTAATGACATCAACACTGCACTGTACCCATAAATAATATCCACAAATGTGAGTTAGAAGGCCAGTGACAATGGACATGCGGCAGTCCAACAACGTCGCTTTAAAGTTTAAACGAAGGCGAGCTCATGAGACGCTGCATTTGGAAACCATCGCAGATTTCGCCGTCCATTGCTGCCAACAAAAGAATCGCTCCCAAAAGGCCGTGGGGGACCGGCGGAATGTGTACGTGAAAATGTCTTTTCATACTTATTTTATTTTCCCATCCGGAAGGCGCATGTATGGTGGGAAGGAGGCGGGTGGTCCGTCGTGAACACAAGGCTGGATAGAAGGAAACGCACGAACGCTTTCAACATTCGTCTGGAAATGCTCGAAACGGACGACGTCACGCAATTCGGTGCGAATGCCGCATTGGCAGGGGCGCGCAAGCACAATAAAGAAACACTACGACTCAATACGCTCGTCAATAGCACCGTGTGACCTTAAAATAAAAACAATATATAATAGGCGACGTTTCAGTCAATGGCCCTTCCTCATCGCACATCGTTTATGACAACGTTGATTGACATGGGGAGGAGGAGGGGGGGGTGTCTTGTTAACGAATGCTCATTATTTGATCGGCGGTGACTCGTGAAATGTTGTTTCCCAAAATCTGCTCTAAATGACAACATCCTCCTCCTGCCGCAAACGAGCAACTCACCCCCAGCGAGTGGCCGGTCTCGTCAGCTCGCGGACGCCAAGCAGGGGGTCAAACCTGCGCAGATTGTGCCCACCATCAATAACAACAACAACAACACACCCCCAGGTGCTATAGGCTGCTGCGAGGAAGCGCTGCTCGGCAGCGGCCAGAAGTGCAGCACGATCAATTGTTGTGCTGTACTCCTATGCTGCAACACGCGCGCGCTCCCCGCCACGCATGAGACCAGCTGCTGACTTTCTGTACCGCACAACAACAGAATCAGAATCTCGACGTGTCCGGGGGAAATCCGATGAACTACGAAGCTCGCTCTACTCTTAGGTTTTTTCGGTAAAGTCACGTGGGTAAAATAATAATAATAATAATAAAATAAAATAATAACTTGATACAGTAAATGTAGCTGTGACGGTCCCACCTGAAGACGGAGACTTGTGTTGCCTCCGAAACGTCGTGATTTAATTTAGTTATTTTTCATTTATTTTATTTTATTTTTATTATTATTTTTATTTTTTGTTACCTACTTGACTTTACCGAAAAAACCTAAGAGTATGAATCCTTGCAGTCACGAAAGCTTCAAATCTAGAAGCTCTCTCTTTCGCAGATGTCCAGTAAGTTACATTGCATCAAAAGTTGCTTCGAGAAGGGGGGGGTTGGGTTGCTACAGGTGACACGAGTTCATTAGATCATCATCGCTGCTGTCAGCCGGCTGAATTACTAAATAAATAAGCAGACAACATAGGTATCTGTTTTGTTGTTGCATTATATTCATAAGCAATGGCTTTTCTAACACAAGTAAAACTCTTTTGTCCTGCGTTGACCTCGATCGGGCATAAGTAAGGCTCGTCCTTAGAGACACGTTGCCGTCTTGTTTTCTTCCAGATGTATGTCGTTACGTCTATCCAACACGAGCAAACTTCCCCACAACCAGCGGGGGCCCCCCTCCCCGCCCCCCACTACCCCCCCCCCCCCCCCACCTCCTCCTCCACCGCGACCCCTCAAGATATTCACTTCACTTCTTGGGAATTACGTCACAAGGGCGGCGTCGGGCGAGAAATAGGCAGAGAGAGCGAGAGGGAGCGAGACGGGGAGGAAGAGACAGAGAAAGTGAAAGTGGACGCGTGACAACCGTTTCCAACGGTGTCCGTGCGGAAATTACAAAAAAATTAATTCCGCGCGGATCTGCAGGAAACGTCAAGGGGGGGAGCGACGTTCGCAATAAAATGACCGAGGCGGCCCCTCGTTCGGTGGCAGTCGCAGTGCCGTGGACTCGAGCGCGGCGCGCAGAGCGGACTCCGCGTGGCGATCGAGGATCGACCGCTGGTCGCTGACCCCCCGGGACGCGGAGGCGAGCCGAGAACTCGGGTGGGTGACGGATGATCTCGCCTTGCCCGTGTCTCGCTGTGTGTCTGGTGAGTGATGAGTGGTCGGTGTGTCTGGTGAGTGGTGAGTGTGTCTGGTGAGTGGTGAGTGGTAGGTGTGACTTGTGAGTGCCTGGTGAGTGGTAGGTGTGTCTGGTGAGTGGTGAGTGGTAGGTGTGTTTTGGGAGTGAGTGGTGAGTGGTTGGTGTGTCTGTGAGTGGTGAGTGGTAGGTGTGTCTTGGGAGTGTCTGGTGAGTGGTAGGTGTGTCTTGGGAGTGAGTGGTGAGTGGTGAGTGGTAGGTGTGTCTGAGAGTGAGTGGTGAGTGGTAGGTGTGTCTTGGGAGTGAGTGGTGAGTGGTAGGTGTGTCTGGTGTGAGTGTAGGTGTCTGGTGAGTGAGTGGTGAGTGGTGAGTGGTAGGTGTTCTTGGGAGTGTCTGGTGAGTGGTGAGTGGTCAGTGGTAGGTGTGTCTTGGGAGTGAGTGGTGAGTGGTGAGTGGTAGGTGTGTCTTGGGAGTGAGTGGTGAGTGGTAGGTGTGTCTGGTGAGTGAGTGGTGAGTGGTGAGTGGTAGGTGTGTCTTGGGAGTGTCTGGTGAGTGGTGAGTGGTCAGTGGTAGGTGTGTCTTGGGAGTGAGTGGTGAGTGGTAGGTGTGTCTTGGGAGTGAGTGGTGAGTGGTAGGTGTGTCTGGTGAGTGAGTGGTGAGTGGTGAGTGGTAGGTATGTCTGGTGAGTGAGTGGTGAGTGGTGAGTGGTAGGTGTGTCTGGTGAGTGAGTGGTGAGTGGTAGGTGTGTCTTGGGAGTGAGTGGTGAGTGGTGAGTGGTAGGTGTGTCTTGGGAGTGAGTGGTCAGTGGTAGGTGTGTCTTGGGAGTGAGTGGTGAGTGGTAGGTGTGTCTTGGGAGTGGTGAGTGGTGAGTGGTAGGTGTGTCTGGTGAGTGAGTGGTGAGTGGTGAGTGGTAGGTGTATCTGGTGAATGAGTGGTAAGTGGTGAGTGGTAGGTGTGTCTTGGGAGTGGTGAGTGGTAGGTGTGTCTGGTGAGTGAGTGGTGAGTGGTAGGTGTGTCTGGTGAGTGAGAGGTGAGTGGTAGGTGTGTCTTGGGAGTGGTGAGTGTGTCTGGTGAGTGGTGAGTGGTAGGTGTGTCTGGTGAGGGATGAGTGCGGTGAGTGGTGCACCTCTTTGTGAACTTGAGTGGTGTGTGCTGAGCGGTGAAGCTCAGTTTCAGGAACCTGGTGAGTATTTGTAACAAGTGCTGAATGTGATCAGTCTGATCAGATGATTAGGTTTTAAGAGACAACCCGTCTGTATGACAGCCTGCCCTCGGGTGTGTTAATATTCATGTGTAAAAAGGTAAGGGCGCAGCCCTACAATTGCCTGCTCACGCCACGTCTGGCGGATGGGCTTCCTCTCGAGGGAGCTCTAGAGCGCATTTGGACTGCTCCCACGTTGGCGAGACGTGATGGAAGAGTTGCGAGTTCCCACACTTTGCCCGGGCGTGAAATCGTTGGAGCTGTCGGACCCCGCGTCCACGCCAGGCCGTACGAAAGATGGAGAGGGCCACTGCCGACGGTGTTCGCCACCAAATAATTGTGCGTTAGTCTGCATCTTTGCCGAGCCAAGTTGCATGCAAATTAAGTGGAGGAGGGAGGGGAATTCCAGGGAAAGTTGAGGTGGGTGGGGGGTGTTGTTCGGAGTGACGAGGGGGTTGGGGCTATTTCGATTTATTTAAAGAAACACAACGGACAGCTCAGACACTCAAACCCACCCGATGGGGTTGAAGAGCCTTGAGCTGAGAGAAAATAGCAGGGAAGTGAAAGGCTGACCCCCCCGCCCCCACCCCACTCACCACACCTTTCGTCTGCTGCTGATGTCCTATGCAGCGCTGCGCCAGGCTGCGCAGACGGGGAGCGGCTGGAGACAACCTCGGGTGAGATGCCAGAGGGAAGATCGCTGCCTGCAGCCTGTACGCGGACTTCTGCATATGTACAGGTGCGTGCACGCGCGTGTGTGTGTGTGAGTCGACTCAGCATCAAATGAGTTCCCGGTGCGGTGTGCAAACGTCGCCACGAGGGAGACAAAGGCGTGCGGGAGTGGTTGCTGCCCCCCCCCCCCCACCTCCTGTGCCGTGCCGGCCTTCAGAGGTGATCGCTAACAGCACTTGGCCCAACAGTCTGTTAAGTCTACACGGGGGATCTTTGTCTTTGTTAGAGGGTGGCCGCGTGCGTTCTGATCATATGCGGCAGTGGAGGGGCAAGCGCGCTCTGCTACGAACCCGAGTAGGATCCCCGCTCACGACCAATAACAGTGGCCAAATATTTCCACTTCGCCAAGTACCTGCTGCGGTGTGTAAACATCAGTAGATTAACGCGTTGGGGCGTGGTGTTGGGCACCCACCCTTTCGTGTGCATGTGTCCGTACATGTCTGTACGCGTGTGTGCATGCATTTTGTATACGTGTGTGTGTGGGGGGGAGCGGTAGTGTAGCGGTTAGCGTGCTGCGAACCTGGTGAGCCGAGTTCGATTCCCACTCACGGCCAACATCGGTGAAGATGATCTAAAACCGGTCCTGGGCCTCCCCTAGGTCGACTCAGCAATTATACAGTAATGCAGAGAGCGATCTGCTGTGGTGTAACGGGGATGTCTCGAGTGCCTTGGCAGCGGGCCTGCTGATGTCACGCATCCCGCTCAAACCAAATCGATATACAGGGACTCCTCTACTTACGAACAATCGACTTTCGAACTTTCGGAGATACGAACAAACCCGGTCCGTACGTCCAGTCGCCCGTTCGGACCGAGAGTCGTAAGTTCAACCGCCGCGCAATAGACGACGGTGGTGGCATCTACATCTGCAGAACGTGAAGAGCCAGTGGCATCTACGTCTACAGAACGTGAAGAACCAGTGGCATCTACATCTGCAGAACGTGAAGAACCAGTGGCATCTACATCTGCAGAACGTTAAGAACCAGTGACATCTACGGCTACCGGAGATTATACGACTTGTAAAGACATTCCCCGTGTTTCGTGTACACGCCGTACAACGTGTTTGGAATCGACCGGAGTAAAGTTGGACTTACGAACAAATCGACTTACGAACAGACCTATGGAACCGAACTCGTTCGTTAGTAGAGGAGTCCCTGTATATAAAATGCGGTGGATGTCTGCAACAAATAAGTCGGCTTCTAATTATAACGTTGCTCTGTCAAGAGTCAGATCGTTTGATTCACTTTAAGTGGTGTCGGAAAAGAACCAAGAAATTGACTACTGTAACAAAAAAAATGCGCGAATGTTCAATTAAGATCTGCTATATCGGCGTATGTACAGCGAGTTGGAAGATTAACCTTACACGCGCAAAGTTATCAGAATCGGAATATGTATTGATACTGGAGGAATCCGATGAGCTCTAAGGCTCGTTTTCACAGATGTCCAGTCGGGGCGGGTCAGAACGTTACGACAACAAACAGCAGAAGAACACGATAGTGGTGCAAAGTACATGAAAGGTAAACGACACAAATAGATTTAGTACAAATAAAACTAAACCATTCCCATGCCTACCAGGCAGAGCCCACCGAGCGATTCACTTCTGTTTCAGAAGTGACCTGGCCACAAATGAAAGCCCGACAAAGCGGCCCATCATTTGGGCATTTTTCTCACGACAATAATCGAAATCATCTCAATGCACGTTTCTAAATGTGGAGAGAAAAAAACCGGAGGACTCAGAGGGAGAAAAAGAATCGCCGTCGCCGTGATGATGCGTCGATCAAAAGAATCAGCAATCTTTATTTAGACTGGAGGAGGAATCCGATGAACAGTGAAGCTCTCAGCCGTCCAGTCGCTTCACAAACGTCCTCTCTCGCCAGTGCCCCAGCCGTCACAATTCGACTACTTCTCTACTCCACACACACGTCCCATGTTTGAGATGAAAGCCAAGTTGCACGTGTCCGTACCGAACGCGAGTGTTGCTGCATGCCCTGCATCATGACTCGAGTACTGGTCCACACCATGGGAGAAATACCTTTTTGGGCTTTCAAATGCGCATTTACGCACAACCTTAGTCAGTGCTGCCACTCGCTGAAAAAGGGTCTCTCGCAGTGACACTGTGTATGTATGTTGAACTTCTTTCGCACCGTACGCTGCCAACCGTGCTGCTCGGAGCTGCGGGGGAAGGACAACACGTGACTCGGCGCACGCTCAAATCCCGAACAGCGTTTGGCAGTTTTAAATAACAGCCCTCTAGTGTCCGATCGGTGCGGCTCAGGCGCTTGCAGTGACGGGTCAAAGGAAAGCCGATTTGCGGATCTGTTCACAAGCGGTTCGGGCCCCTTTACGTGGCTGTGGGTTCGCATGAAGCTCAAGTCTCGGGTAGGGAGGGGGGGGGGTCCGTGTGAAGTGAAGGCGGCCACCCCTTACACGACACGCGCCGCTCCTCTCCGCGTGATGTCCTCCTTGCCCCGTGCCGCGTGTTGTGGCGCCACTTGATTTAACAACATACATCAATCATGAACAGCCCCTGCGTGCGTTTCACACGTGCTTGCTTGTTTGTTTGAAACTTGCGGGGTTTTATTTTATTTTTCCGGGGCTGCGTTAGTCCTACTACGGTAATGATGCGGTTATTTTAGTTAGTTTAACACGTAGTGGGATTTCGCGACCAATATCATCAATAATAGAGGGGGTTTTTCTTGGTTAGATCGCGTAAATATATAAATGTGTCGTTAAAATCCGCCACAACTCGACGTAAGGAACGAAACCGGTGGACTTCTCCACAATTCTGACCGTCGCCTGATGAAGCTAGTTGTAATTACTGGCGAAACGTCGTACTCAGATTGTAAATATTGTGGCTTGGCTCTCCAACACACCGGTGTGTTGTTCTAGTAACGAATTGGCCACGTTCTGTTTACGTGACAAACCTTACTAGTTGGCTGTGTCGGGTGGTGGCGGGTTTAACGACACATTTATATATTTACGCGATCTCAACCAAAAAAAAACCCCTCTATTATGGGTTACATTAGTTCTCGTAACTTACGGATTTGTATCATGCTACTCCCAGACAGCCGCTGTGGGCTGATGGGGGTATGGGGAAAAAAACCTTTTGCTATTCACGTGGCGAGACGGATGCAGTAGCTGGAGACGTAAACGTGTATTGCCCGATTGTCGATGTTGTTGCTGTCAACATGCGCGCGGCGCGTGTCACGCAACCCGGCGCGGAGCGATCAGAGGTGGAACTCGGAATCCAACACAGGCGCTGCTCGTGTTGGATTCTGGGTTGCCACACACGATCAGCATGACGCCCGCTTGCGTTGTGTTGCGATCGAAACGTCGTAGTTTTTTTTTGTTATTTTCTTTGAACCTATCTACGTGACTTTACCGAAAGACCCAAAGAATTTGAATTCCTGCAGTCACGAAAGCTTTAAGTCAAGATCAGCATGAATTTCCATAAAACACAGCACTGTTTTTTTGTTGTTGGGATAATTAATTACGAGCCTTTAAATGAACATTGTACAGTGTCCATTAATGACGGTTAGTCCACAGCATGGATTAGTCACACTTGGATAGAATTGAAACTGCTGTTGTTACTGAGTTTTAGTTTTTTCGACGAAGAAAACTATCTAATAGACGACGTTTCGGGCAATGGACCTACGGAGCACACATTTTATTATTTGTGCTTGTCCACCACAGCCAACACCAAATTCTTGATGTATATTTTTATAAAAATCACGTTTGCTGGGCAAGGCCAGATATGTGTGTGGGTGTAACTGATCACGAAGATAGCGATGCGACTTTTCCATCACCGATGGGAGTCAGAGTGGCGTAGCGAGCGTAGGGACAGGAGGTGCCTTGGTCCCCCCACAGTAGCGAGAGCCACGAGTTGTGGCGCCCGTGACATGATCCACGAGCGCCCCTACAGCGTCAGGTCTTCGAGACCGTGAGCGTAGCGGAGTGATGGGGCAAGAGGAGCCGCGGTATACAATTGCCTGGGTGCGTCCGCGCGAGTCAAATGACTTATTGGGGCACCACCTCACCCATTGCCGTACCCCCCTGAGCCTATAAAGTCGTTCACGTCGCCACAGCGTCGTCACCACTTAACCCTTCACGGCAAGGCCGTAACCGTGGAGTCAACATTGGGGGGGACCAAATATTCCAGGGGGTCTGGGAGTCCCTCCCCCCGAAAAAATTCTAAATTTGAAAACTCATTTCCTGCCATTTCGTGCCTAAAATATAAAAAAAATTCACTAATACATAGGATGGACTTTATATTTATGTTTTACAATAATGTCTAATAGTGCATTGTATTACATTGCTCTGTTTTTCTTTTTTACCTTTTCTTCATTGTATGTAATGGCAGAGATTAGGGATAAATAAAGTACAACCATGACCACAATCATATAAACAGAAATCTATTTTATAGCAATATATTGGGGGGGGGGGGGACATTTTGAGCATATTTGAATATTGGGGCGGGATGTGCCCCCCCCCCCCCCCCCCCCCACTATATATTATAATTACGGGCTTGCTTCAAGGTCAATTTGAGATGAATGCAGTTGTACAGCCTGCAACCAAATCACCCGGAACGCTCTCGCTCGATCTCGTGAAATCTCGGAATCCAAGCGGGAGTTTAAATCCCGGAATGCTGCTCGGAGCAGCGACCACTGAACAGGCTGCGTGAGAGGTCTATGAGGCGTTGTGGAGTGGGCAGCAGAGGGAACTGCAGTAATAAGCACAGCTGTGTAGTGCTTCTATCCTCTCGCGTCAATCCAATCCGCCTTCACAAACCCAGTATTGCCCAACGTGAAGTAGTGTACAGGTTCTCCTCTACTTACGAACACTCGACTTACAACCCTCCCGAGATACGAACAAACTCGTCCGTATGTTCAGTTGCCTGTTTGGACCGAGAGTCGTAAGTTCAACCGCCGGAGCAATAGATGGCGGTGGTGGCATCTACATCTGCAGAACGTGAAGAACCAGTGGCATCTACATCTGTAGAACGTGAACACCCAGTGGCATCTACATCTGCAGAACGTGAAGAACCAGCGGCATCTACATCTGCAGAACGTGAAGAACCAGTGGCATCTACATCTGCAAAACGTAAAGAACCAGTGGCATCTACATCTGTAGAACGTGAACACCCAGTGGCATCTACATCTGCAGAACGTGAAGAACCAGCGGCATCTACATCTGCAAAACGTAAAGAACCAGTGGCATCTACATCTGCAGAACGTGAAGAACCAGCGGCATCTACATCTACAGGAGATTATACCATTTTTACAGCCAATTCCCCTGTTAAGTGCACGTGCCGTACAACATGTTTTGAATCGACATGAGTAAAGTTGGACTTACGAACAAATCGACTTACGATCATACCTCCGGAATATCACTCGTTCGTAAGCAGAGGAGTCCCCTGTATGGTCAAACATAACCCTCACGACTCGCGTGACGTGACGAGGCCCTCGTCCGCACTTCCGATTATCACGGTCTGCTACGTACGGTGCGAAAGAAGTTCAACCTACAGTACGTACATCCAAAATTGATTTTTTTTTTTAAAACGAGGCTGTACTGGCCGTCACGCGCGTGCGTGGTTGCGCAATAGTGAGCTGTAAATTCAGCCGGTTAACTCAACCAGATACACACTTGGCATGCTGCCCAGGGCAGCCTGCGCACGTCGCAGTACTGTACGCACGTGCGTACCAACCCTCTAAAGACGCCGCCGGAGTGCAGCGGGTCATGAGCGCAACTGGAATTGCAATCCAATGGTCGAGGCTGGGTATGGTGCGAAGAAAGTTCATCATAGCACACGTGCACGTTCCATCTCCGTGCGCGGCCTTAAATTCACCCCTTCGCGCCGCCTCCCAATCTTGCTCTGCTGATCCAGCGATATAAATAAATGGGGTAGAGCACAGCCGAAAGGCAGGAAGGCACACGGGTTGTGTATCCGTATACGGTGCTTGGCAAGAAACGCCTGCAATATAAATCATTTCACAAGCAGCCCAAACATGGCACGGCTGAATAGGCACACGCTACGGAAGCATTATAGTCTTCTTTAAGCAGAACTATTTCCCTGTTATCGCCTGGACGTCTCATCCTGATTTTCTCAAACTTTTTGCGTCACTATTTTTATACGGACAAAAAAAAAGGACTAAGAAGCTTCGGTGGTAGAAGGGGCATCCCTGCAATTTCTCGCTCGCGCCTCGAATATAGACGGGCCATCCCGATGGGGTGTTTTGGCCTACTCTTCCACACTGGCCAGCTATTCTTGGGAAGAGGTGGGGGCTTTCCCACACTTCAACCCCACCGCACGCGTCCAACCGGTCCACCCCATTCCTGTACAGGGGCTCCTCTACTTACAAGAGGTCTGTTCGTAAGTCGAATTGTTCGTAAGTCCAACTTTACTCCTGTCAATTCCAAACACGTTGTACGGCACGCATACTGAACACGGGGAATGGCTCTAGAAGTTGTATAATCTCATGTAGACGTAGGTGCCACTGGTCCTTCGTGTTCTGCAGATGGAGATGCCACCGCCCCCATCTCTTGCGCGGCGGTTGCAATTACGACTCTGGGTCCGAACACGCAACTGGACAGACGGACAGGTTTGTTCGTGTCTCTGAAAATTTCGTGAGTCGAATATTGCCAAGTAGAGGAGTCCCTGTACACCGAGGCAGTGTCCACACAGCGTTATGTACACATGTATACACTGTGTGTGTATATATGCCTGACCAGCGTGCAAAGAGTAGACCAACATCACACTTTGCGTATCGTCACAGGTTAAGTTAATGTGGTACCGATGGATGTTACATGGATGGACACGTTAAATGGCACACACGCAACTAAAAAAAAACAGAATAAGGGATAAAAACAAATGTGCACGTACATCTTTGGGAGCAAGTTACCAATTATACCCAACAAAGTGTAATGATCACCACGACTATATTAAGAGCAACCCAATACTCTAAGCGCATTTTTCTAAGTTTGGAGGGAATAAAAAACGGAGCACCCCGAAGAAAAATCCACGCAACCACGGTGAGAGAGACATGCCAACTCCAAAGATATATACAGCAGGTGTCAGGTCGGGACCGAACCCACGGACCTCCTGCATAGCAGGCGAGGGAGTTAACATCTCGCCACCACGTCGCCAAAACTACTCAAATCTCCGCTCCATCTCAGCGGCACTACGCTGTTGATGAGCAACTTTTTTTTGCAGATTTTGCTTGGGGGCGGGGGGGGGGGGCCGGGGGGCGCGGGGGAGGTGGGGGGAGTAGAAGGCTAGGAGGGGGGGTGGCCTTTATGTGCCTCTCACCAGCGTGAGAGGTGACCCATCGACCCGTCTCTCGCCACCACGGCGCCCTTCAAATCATGGCGGCACGTCACGTGGTTGTGCCCCGTGGGTTTCTGTGTTTGCAGGTGATGCTCTGGGCCGTCGCCATCATCTGCGCCGCTCTGTGGAGCAGCGCGGCCGCGTGCGGCAATCTGAACATCAGCAGGCCCGCCGCCTACCTGAGTGCAATGGTAACTTGATTCGCAATCGACGGCGCAAAAAACGAAATGCGTCGTGAAACCCTCCTCCGAACCCGACACGTGGAGACTGATTCATACCGCCGTCACCACGTGCGGATCTAGGAGTCCTTCAGCACCACCGGTGTGTTGGAGAGTAATGTCGCGACGTTTGAATGGGTGCAACGCTCCGACTGTTCGTTGCAACCGGCATCATCAGGCAGCTGCCTGAAGTGTGAAAAAGTTCCTCTATTTTTATTTTCATTCAGACGCTGTCGCCTCGACAGACCTGGTTTTCACCTGAGGACGGCTGCTTGCGTTGTGGCCGAAACGTCGTGAGAATTGTTTTATTATGTTTTATTTTTATTATTTTATTACTTCCCTTCTACGTGACTTTACCGAAAGAACCAAGAAGATGAAAGTTCCTCTACTCTTGGGCCTTAAATATGTTGGGGGGCGGGGGGGGGTGTCATCATCCACGTGCGTCCAGCAGCGAGGAATGTCAGGAAGTGATACTTGGAGGTTAATGTATTCACAATAAGTTCAGTTAGTTTTAGCTTACAATAAATATTGTTATCTGTGGTACTGTGATATACATTTATATATGCTAACGTGATGAAACTGGTTAGTCGTAGTTGTACTAGATGGTTGTTAGATTATACAAATGTATCTTCTTGGTTCTTTCGGTAAAGTCACGTAGAAGGGAAGTAATAAAATAATAAAAATAATAAAAATAAAACATAATAAAATTATTCTCACGACGTTTCAGCCACAACGCAAGCAGCCGTCCTCAGGTGAAAACCAGGTCCATCGAGGCGACAGAGTCTGAATTTCAGACAGAGTCTGAATTTCAGACTGAAAGAACCAAGAAGATGAATCCCTGCAGTCACGAAAGCTTTAAATCAAAATACAAATGTATGTTAAAGATGTGAATATAAGGTCAACATCTACGTGGTGTTACTGGTTAGGTATATCTTCTTGGTTCTTTCGGTAAAGTCACGTAGAAGAGAAATAATAAAATAATAAAAAATAAAACATAATAAAATACAATTCTCACGACGTTTCGGCCACAACGCAAGCAGCCGGTCAAGAACAGGGCTGTCGGAAAAACAGCATCTGAATGGTTAGGTATATTTGACTAGTGATATTAAATGGTGAGTAATGTTGCAATACTGCGGTCTTAGTTTCGATACAGCAAATACCACTGCTGATGGCGACGCGTTGCAAAGATAGCGTTTACTCCCCAGCGCAATGCAATTGTTTTGATGAATCCTGTGCTTCGTAGATTACAAATTACCAAAATAAATAAAAATAAAGCACCAACTTAAAACGCGCCGCCGCGCAATATTCGCTCACTGTTCAAGAGAAGTCGAGCGTCGGCATCGGGATATTTATTTTCACTGCAGCAGAAATCCGATGGGCTGTGAAGCTCTTTTTGCACAGATGTCCGGTAGGGGCATTGGGTCAGAACGGAACAACAGCAAACAATACAGAAACACGATAGGTGTGCAAAACACATAGTCTTAGATTTGACAGGAGCCACAGACAAGCGGGAGCAGATGGCGAATACTGCCCCAGAGCTCTGCGGTCCTCTTTGTATGAAGGTTTTTACTCGTAGGAACCTCCTGGTTACACCAGTCCACAGGGATTATTGTGTTCGTCGTGCAGGGAGGGGCTGGGTGGGGAGGGAGGGGCTGGGTGGGGAGGGTGGGGCTGGGTGGGGAGGGGAGGGTGGGGATGGGCTGGGTGGGGAGGGTGGGGAGGGGCTGGGTGGGGAGGGTGGGGCTGGTTGGGGGGTGGGAGGGGTGGGCTGGGTGGGGTGGGGCTGGTCACCCCGTGGTGCCCTTATAAAACTCAATGTTTAACCTACTCATGCCAGCTTGTGCCCGCCCTCACAGTCGGCCATATTTGCGGAATACACCACGCCGCCGTTGACCCTGGACATTGACCGAGCGACCCAACGTTCCTACCAGCTCCCTCTGCAGGAATGTGTTCAGCCAATTAATGATTGTTTACATATGTGAGGAAAGTGGAGCACTCGGGGAAAACCCACTCGTGCCAGTGGGGGCAACACATTATCCCATACAGATGCAACAGATGAGAGTCCAAATTTGCTGTGCCACTTTCCCCTGATGGCCACGGGAAGGGAGTTTTACAATTATTAAACTAAAACTATATATTTTTTTATTTTTCCAGGTAAGACCCACTGAGCTATGTATAGTTATTTTTTTCTCAGAAGCAACCTGGCTATCACAAATGATAGCTCAACGAAGTGGCTTATCGTGTGGACATTCATCGCAGCAGCCAAATACCCTAAACAGCACGTGTGTGCGATTCACCAACCATCGCGCCTCCGCAGTGCTGGATTACAGGCATGGGCCACCACCGACCCGGGCGAAAGTCAACATCAAGTCTTCTTCTTTCGCGTGTGCTGATGTAGACGAAGAGAAAGAATTACGATTTCACGAACAGGGGGTCAAGCCCAGATCGCCGCGCCAGGAGCAGTAGCGGGAGTGGTATCGCCGTGATGTCTCCTTCGAAGGAAAACAACAAGTGATGATTAATCAATTGGCATTGAGCTTGAAAAGACGTGGCCTTGGATAGTCTCTGTGCAAGGGGAGACTTTGCCCACACCCTGCCTGACGGAGGGCATCACGTGGGACACTCCTTTCAACAGTTTTCTTTTTTTACGGGCGAAATTATTTTGAAAATAAATCCTACCGCTTTATACAAATGTGTACGTGTAAAAAAACCCCTAAATATTTGACGGCATCCTTTCGTTTGAAATTGGAATGCGGTGAAGGGGTTAGCAAACAAACAGGCAAAAATCCCGTCAGGTTAAAATCAATTGGGTTGGCATGGCATTGCAAGGCACTGCTTCGAGTTTGGGGCAGTTTGACTCGTCTGGTAACGATTCGAAACAGATGCCTTGGAGAATGTCCGTTGCTAAATACATCACTGATTATACACTTTTCAAGACAGTTTTATTGACCGTGTTGATTTTTTGCGAGTTATTTGCTCTTCCGCAACGCTGTCAGTCATTGCCCAAATAATGTGGTTATCTGTTGCGGTTGTATTAAGGATACGGGGCTGGGGGGTCGTTATCTATCGCGGTCAGGGCAGTGGCGTGGATCCAAAATGCTTTTCAGAGTGACCTCTAACCTCCGGATATGCCACCTAGGGCATTTATAAACGTAATCATCATCATCAGCCATGATCAATCAACTGCTGGTTGAAGGGCCTCCCCAAGTCATGACCATCTCGATCCTAGCTGTAAGTATGTTGAACTTCTTTCACACCGTACAGCAAACAGAATACAACAAGCGGTTCAGTTTGGGTGTTCTTCCTCTCTAAAACTAAAATCCAAGCAACCACGAAGAGAGAGAGAGAGAGACACGCAAACTCCAAATATACAACAGGCGTCAATGGTACGGGATCGAACCCACGACCTCCTGTATACCGGGCGAGGTAGTTAACATCTCGCCATGATCGCCTGGCTCCGGACTCGTTAGTGGCACGCTGTGGCAACTGGGTTTATCTGCACGCTCCACCTTGGCGTTTTGCAGTCTCCGATAACGCCTGTGGGTTGATTCTATACCAAAGGCAACGCGCGGTAATGCGCCTGTGCTGGGCTCCTGCCGGGATACACTTTCCCTGCAGAATGTCACCGATCCAAGCACCCGCCGTTGCTTGCCACATTCGCAATGAAATTCGCCCGCATCATGTGTCACCCGAGATGGTAAAATACAAAAAAAACCACAAGGGCAGAGTTTGCAGCCTCCCATGACTGAAGCCCACGAGCAACAAACCTTTGGGTCAGACTGCTTGGGTCTGCTTGGTCGGCGTGGTTTAGATCAGGAGGGGAGGCAGGGCCGGATTAAGATTCTGAAGGCCCCGGGGCTACATGTACTGTGAGGCCCCCAGTAATATTTTCAAAAGGAAAACAAAGTTTAAGAAAGATAAAATTAAATTTTTTGACAAGGCTAACAACAAATAAAATTCAGCATTCACAAACGAAATCACTTTTAACTTCATCTCTGGATGTTCCTCCAGCTGAGCGGTAGGGCGACGATCCGATCGCCTACCGCGGTGGTTCTCAATCTGTGGGTCGGCGGGAGTGCGGGGGCGGCAGGCTGCGGCATGGACACTGTGCAGGAGGAGTTGTCAATGTGCGCAGTGGTTGTCGGTGTCACGTCGCGCCGACAAAAACACACGAATGCACAACAACATTAAGGAAATTATGTTTGCGATAACGCGTTGCGAGTGGTGCACGAGCACAAACAACAATAAAGCTCGAGACAATGTGATTATATATACGTACTATGAAGGGCCATTGTTTAGTAACGTTACTTATTCGACACATCGTGGGTAGGCGGCATTCATCCGAAATTCGGTAGACAAATCGCCGTGAATTAATTAAAATCTTGCTTTCACTTGCCTCGTGCTTCAAACGAAAGTGGCCTCTTCCAAGCCAGCAATGACACCGTGCGTGCATCCTTGTGGCTGCTGTTCGAAAAGGCAGACTTCCCCCAGGACTACTGCATCGAGTCCGCGGGCCACCTCTCCCCAGGGGACAGCACGCTGGTGAGAGGCGCACGACGGCCACCCCATTCCAGCCCTCCACTCCTCCCACCTGCCTCCCCTCCCTCCCTCCCTCCCTCACTCCCTCCCTCCCTCCCTCCATCCCTCCCTCCCGCCCCTCCCGCCCCTCCCTCCCCTTCGTCCCTCCCTCCCCTCCTCTCCCCCTAACGATCAGACGAGAAAGATGCTCGGTCTTTCGGCACTTTACTTCGTTCATCATGTCGTTTTTTGTTTGTATTTTTTTTTGCTTATGTGCTCCCTTTTTTATCAAAGATATAACGCGGGTTTCCCGTGTAGCATTAGTCCCATTGTGTGTTACTGTGTTCATAGACACCAACAAGAAAACAAATCACCCTCAAAAACCCATCACCAGATCCCCTGCTGCTGCGCTACCAGCACCATAGCGGCGAAGGCACCTGCCTGACCTCCCTCCCCTTCCTCCCCTCCCCTCCATCCCTCCCTCGCCGCCCTTAGCAAAAGCTCTGGACACAAGTTGCTCATTGCCAGTGCAGTGCCGCTGAGAGGGAGTGGAGGGTCGGGCAGTTCGGTTGCCGCGGTGGTGGAGAGATGTTCACTCGGAAAAAAGTTCGTGGGTTCGATCCCAGATTCAGACCCTGACGTCTCTATATTTGGAGTTTGCGTGTGTCTCTCCCAGGCCTCCAAAAACCTTTTCGCAGCCCTGCTCATTGGGTGATAATCTAAAAAGAACTGAGTTTGCATTCGTAATCAGAGGGCTGAGTTTGCATTGCCGAGTTGATCATCTATGATTTTAAGCCAAGCAGCTGTCTGTGATTAAGCTGGGTTCTCAAGTTTAGTGAGTTGATGGCCTTATCCTGGACACCAATTACTATAAATAAAACAATCACATTCAATTATTTTGTGATTAGCGCAGCGGTTAGCGCGCCGCGCTACAAACCCAGTGACGATTATCTGAACCAGTCCTGGGCCTCCCATAGGTCGATTCAGCCTCAAATGAGCACCTGGTGCGGTGTAGAAACATCACCACGGGGGAGACAAACACAGGTGGCGTGGTACTGGACAACCTACCCACTCACGTGCCACCTTACACGAGCTGCTCGCTAGCAGCACTTGCTCCAACAGTTTGTATAAAGCTACACGGGGGGAGATCTTTGTCTTCGGCGTAGCTGAGGATGTGCGCCTGCGTGTGTGTCCCCCCCCCCCCGGGCCGGCCACGTGTGCAGGACGCTCGCTGCATCCTGCACGTGTGGTTCTCCATCATGGGTGACACGCTCAGCGAGCTGCTGCGCAAACTGGACCAGGGCGGCCGCCTGTACAGGGACGTGGAGAACCTCTTCAACTACGCGAACTCCGTACAGATCGATTGCGTGAGCGTGAACGTGAGCAACACACGCCACCCCCCCCCCCCCGCGGCTCTGTGTCGTTTGTTTGGCAACGCGTTGGTGAGATGTGAACTCCCTCGCCTGGCATGCAGGAGGTCTGACGTCTGTATATTTGGAGCGTGCGTGCGTCTCTTCCCGTGGTCGTGTGGTTTTTTTTTCTCTGCGTCCTCCTCTGGTTTTTTCCCCCCTGCTGTAATGATAAGCCAGTTCGTTGAGCTATCATTTGTGGGCGTTTACTGCTCATCTGCGAGTCGTGCAGCCAGTCACTCGGTACTGCCTGATGCTTCTCACTTCACTTCTAACCCCCCCCCCCGACTGCGCAGGAGAATACGTGCTCGCTCAGCGCGCTGGTGCACAAGGAGGCGATCACGCCCAGCTACTTCCGCGCGCTGATGCTCAAGTCCTTCCAGGCGGTTCGGTTCATGAACGGGCAACCCGGCGCGGTGCCAGCTACGGTGCTTGCTCGCTGGCTGCCCACCGAGTCGGCCGCACAGCTCGGCAAGGCTTGCGTCTGCTCCGAGGTGTGCCGGCCCGCGGCAGAGACGACGTCACCGCCGGTCTCGTCCCAGACGAACGCCGCCCGCGCCGCAGGTGTGCGACCCCGAACGTGGCGCGCGCCTCTCTCCCACAATCCTGACCCACCTGGGCCACGTCTCTCGCCATGGTGCTGGCATGTGGCCGACACTTGTCACCTTGAATCCACCTTGTCAACCCCCCCCCACTTCTCGTCCCATCCCATAACCATCACCAACTTCACCCCACCCCCGTCCCCGCTTTTGCCGACTTAATCACGTGGCACGTCGCGCCGGACACGATCCACCTCGCCAAACAACAACAACAACTGGCGCCATTCACCACTAAGTGGCGGTGATGACACCACGACGCTTGTGCCATGCTAGGTGCTCTTTGAGGCCACGTGAAGTGTCGACGGCCCACTGACAGGAGACCACGGAACGGACCCAGGTGCCGTGGGTTGACTGAATGAAATTATTGGCGGACGCACCAACTGTGCCCCCTACTGTGTCAACTTGCTGCGTTCTAGCTGCCCGGCACTCTGCTCATTGTTGTGAGCGTCGCTCCTCTGCCCTCCGTCCGTTGTTGCTGGAGGGCGACCGCCTCCACAGAGGCCGATCTTTACTACGCTCATACCGATCATCGGCAAAGTCTAATCAACTCCACATCCTTCGAAACCGCATCAGATTATATTTTATCCAGCCCATGCCATGCCCATAATAACGCTTTTTCCTGGGTTAGATCACGTAAATTTCCATGCGTCTTAAAACCCGCCAACACCCGACACTGCCAAGAAGTGTGGTTTATCACGTAAACAAAACGTGGCAATTAGTTACTACTTCAGTGTGTTGGAGAGTAAACCCACGACGTTTACAATTCGAGTCCCCTGACGTTTACGTACTCAAAATTGCCATGCCCGTTGGAGCCCCCCTCTCTCTGACCGAACAGAAGCTACTTGTCCATGTCACCCCCCCTCCCCCAATCCGTCCACCTGCCCGTAACGCCCCTACGCACCCCCGCCCACTAAGGGAAGGTTGGAGAGACGGAGGTGGCCTCGGAGCGACTGTGGGGGCTGCTCGTGGTGCCGCTGGGCGCGCTGTGCGTGACGCTCGCCGCCCTGTTGTGGAGGCGGCTGGGGCGTCCAGCCCCACGCCTGCCCCCCGCCACCACAGGCCGCACGGCCCCCCCACACCGGGTCCCCCCCAAGGTAAGCAGCACAGGCGGCGGCCGCGCTGCGTCACCGCACGTAAAATGTAACTTTTTTATTTTTATTTTACCAGGTAAGGTCTCACTGAGCCTTATAGAGCTCTTTTTCAGAAGCGACCTGGCGGTCACACATGATGGCTAAGTGACTTGTCACCGTGTGGGAATGTACAGCAGCCAAAAACTCTGCACGCACGTTGATTCTAAATGTTGGAGTGGAAAAACCGGAGGACCCGGAGAAAAATGACCACGCGACCACGGGCTGAGTGAACACGCAAGCTCCACAAGAGCAGGCATCTGGGCCGGGTTTGGGATCGAATACACGACCTCCTGCACACCAGGCGAGGGAGTTAACATCTCGCCAAATGCGGTGCCTCACGTCAAGGAAAGAAAATTGCATTGCCTGAAACGTCGCCTATAGTATATATTTATTTTCCCCATTCAAGACCACGTAGTGTTATTGACGGATGTGCTGAGTTTTATTATTATTATTATCTCTGCCTTCTTCTTGGTTCTTTCGGTAAAGTCACGTAGAATGGAAATAATTAAATAATAAAACATAATATTATTATTCTCACGACGTTTCGGCCACAACGCAAGCAGCCGTCCTCAGGTAAAGAACAGACAGAGTCTGTCTTATCGACAGACTTGTTCTTCACCTGAGGACGGCTGCTTGCGTTGTGGCCGAAACGTCGTGAGAATTATTTTATTGTTTTATTTTTATAATTTTATTATTTCCATTCTACGTGACTTTACCGAAAGAACCAAGAAGATGAATCCCTGCAGTCACGAAAGCTTTAAATCGAAATATCTCTGCCTTGTGCACCACTTCCGACGCACCAGCATCACGAAATAACGTTGTGTTGATATCGACTGTTCATACAAGTAAAGTTGGGCTTGAGAAGGCCAGATCGATGGCCAGTGGTGAAGACTAACAGCGGAGTGGCAGCCAATGGAAGGAAGCCCACCTAAAAAGGAGTGCGTTCGACTGCAGAGATGGAACGATGAAATCAGCTCACGTGCGGGAGCCAAACTTGGATTTTTGACTTCGCAAGACCGTGAGACAAATTTGGCAAGAACTTGGGAAGGCCTTCATCCAGCAGTGGATAGATCATAGCTGTTGTTAGTGATGGAGGATTATGACATATTCTATAGGCAGTTCTTTTGTCCAGCATTTGCTCGCTTATATGTGTTGCCCTGCCACCCGATTGTATATTTGTGGACTTTAAGCTGGAAAAACCATGGTTACTCGCAACATTACCTTCACTCAATGATTTATCTACCTCACCCACTTACCAGACCATGGGTCATAACAACACGCACACTCAATCACCCACTCACCCACTCACCACACTGCAGGTCACAACAACACATTCACACACTAGGGGGGGTCGAGGGTTCTCATCCGGCAGCGGACTGATACAATTGCACGACATCATGCTCCTCGTTATATTTAAGGCTGTCCCCGGGTTACGGAAGGGTTAGGTTCCCGAGAATGATCCGTAACCTGAATTTTCCGTATGTCGGAGACTGAACAATTTTTTTCCCCCAAAATCGAAATCAATTCCACGTAACCTAATAATAGTGAAGAGCGAGGAGGCGTAAGGCTGCCCGCCTCACGCCTCCTCGCTCCACGGTATTCATCCGCAACCCTCACCGCGGCTGCACTACTTGCACTTACGTAACTAACGCAAACATTTCCACGTGTTGATTAAAAAAAATGTGTTATGGGAGCATTTACGTAAGGTCGGATTACCAGGTGTTCCACAACCCAGGGAACTGTCTGTACATGCATATCTATGACATCTACCTGTGCTGGTGTGAGATAAAGAATGCAGGAAACTTTAGAGCTCCGATTCTTGTGCTGCTTTGTACAAGCTGCTGGGTTTGGTTTCAAGCAGGGAAAGCGTTTTAGTTTTTTTTTCATATGTTTCTAGATCCCTAATTCAGCCTCATGATCTTGAGGCCTCCAGTGCTGTGGAGGCGTATGGGTTGGTGTGTTTTTTTTGCGACAAATGTTTCATTTTCCCATGGGCGATGATGAGGTGCCAATACCCTTGAGTCGCCAGGAGAGGGCGGTTCACTCCGTCTCGTGTGAGCTGGAGAGAGATCGTGGCTTCGGGGCCGTCCATAAATGACGTCACGCACCTAGGGAGGGGGGGGGGGAGTCAGACATCTGTGACGATGTGTGACGAGGGGGGGTGAGAAATGTGACATCGCATCAAAATGCGCAACTTTAAATAAATACAGACAACACGTTCTACTTAATTAAATAGACTTTTTAATAAATGTTTTCTCCTGCAGCATCAGAGTGCAGCGCCACATTAAATACGCACTACAATGGCAATAGTTTAAAGAGATTTGAAGCATGTTTTATTTTTTAGGGGGGGGGGGGGGCAGAGCTTTGTGACGTCATATTTGACGGGAGGGAGTCTGACTTTTTTTGTGACGCCGTGTGACGAGGGGGGGGGGGGTTCAAAAATCGTCCAAAATCGCGTGACGTCATTTATGGATGGCCTCTTATCTCCGGGTGCTCCGGTTTCCTCCGACGCGCGTGTAAACCACTCGTCGTAAGAAATCAGTTGACATTACCTACCCTAATCACCCAGAAATGTCTGTCCGTCCCGCGCGTGACGTCACTCCACATGAGCCCCCCCCCCGCGTGACGTCACTCAACATAAGGCCTACCCCCCCTCATTAATATTCATGAGTTGGTGGATTTGTACACTAACGCAGAGAAAGGTCGAGATGAATGAAATCATTTGTTACGCAGAGTCGCTTCAAATATGACGTGTCCTTACAGAAAGTGGCGGTAAAAAATAAATCGACGCAGCACAGTGCTACATCCGTGCGTGACGTCACTGCAACCCCCCCCCCCCTTCATTAATATTCATGGGAGCGTGGAAATTTACACTGACGCACAAGACGGTCGCGCACTCCACATGCCGCACCCCTCCCCTCATTAATAATCATGAGCGGGTGACGTCACTCCACATGTCGCACCCCTCCCCAATAACCATTAGCGGGTGACATCACTCCACATGCTGCACCCCTCCACAATAACCATTAGCGGGTGACGTCACTCCACATGTCGCACCCCTCCCCAATAACCATTAGCAGGTGACGTCACTCCACATGTCGCACCCCTCCCCAATAACCAATAGCGGGCGACGTCACTCCACATGGGGCAACCCCCCTCCCCCCTCCTTATTAATCATGAGTTGAACAATATTTCTATTGAATATTTCAGATTTACTAATATACACCCGTCCTTCAACGGGCTAGTCTTAAAATTAAAACCCTTAATGACGCGGGGGGGGGGGGAGGGGGAACCCTCCTGAATAAGACTCCTTGGACACGGCTGTGGCTTTCCTGGATAGCTCCGAATCCGTGTGTTTATTTCCTTACTTGCTTCATGAACTGCTCACAAACGGTGTGACGTGAGATGCCTTCGCCGGGGTTTATTCGATGGGTCCACTCAACCGATCAATCTGTCAATGGATGCCTCAATGCTGACACGTGCTCAGATGGCGATTGGTTTACAGCCATTTGCCAAAGTGGTGCTCACCACTGCCCTGTGAATCCAGAGACATCAAAGTAAATTATCAATCATGGCCAACAATCATGGCTAACAATCATGGCCAACAATCATGGCCAACACCAGCGGCGAGTGATATATGAAACGGGTTTGGGCTGCCAGCCGCCCCCCCACCTTCCACCCCCCTCTTCACAAACCCATACTGAGCAGCGTGGTGAAGTATGGTCAAACGACCTCCATGCCTAACACGCAAGGCTGCCACCTTGTCCTGGTTCTCACAGGATCGCCCCGGACAGGCAGCTGTCCTGGGAAATCTATCAGTCTTCCTGGGACATAAAAATGCTCCAGTTTTTGACAGATAATAATACTAATGATCGCAATGCCCCACTCAAGATAATGCATTCAGTTGACGTTCTCCCAACGTCCGGTATTGTGAGATAGTTTTCCTCGCACCATTGACATGTCCAGATTATTGTTGTGCTTCAGAGGTGGCAACCCAACTGGCTGACAGAAGTCGATTGAGGCGTTGGATTGTCAAAGCCCTGCAAACGATTAGCAAATGTTACAAACTTTTGTAACCTAGTATTTGGATCAATCGTATCACGTTCACTAGTTCTGTTAAAGTTGTTCTGCACACTTACGGCATAGTCGCTATTCTCATGAATTGTCTGTGCCGGCCACTATAAGATGATTTTATCACCAATGGCGATAGCACCAAATAGCTCAAAAGTACTCCAATTGCAAATGTTGTGGGTTTACTCTCCAACGCACCGGTGTGCTGTACTCGTAACGAGTTGGCACGTTTTGTTTACGTGACAAACCTCACTAATTGGCTGTGTCGGACGATGGTGGCGGGTTGAACGACACATTTAAATTTACGCGATCTAACCCCCCCCCTCCCCCCCCCAAAAAAAAACTTTATTACGAATAGCTAAAGTTTGCATTTTCAATTCCATTCGTCGTGCCCGATTTTGTAACACACTCAACAGAAAATAAATCCCTATATATATCAGCACCCTTCGCTTGGTCTCGTCCCCAGCGCCTGCCGTTGCTCCAAACGCGCCTCGCGAGAGCACCTGACGGCCGTGCGGCTCGAGGAGCCGAGCCGCACGGCCCCGTCGGCGCAGCGGCGACCCCAGACGACGAGCAAGCGGCGAGCAGCAGCAGCGGCCGAGACGACACGTGAACGGGCGGCGAGCGCGCAGCCTTGCCTCCTCGACGTCGCGAAATACATCTTCGGCCGCTCTGCACGGCCTCCTCCCCCGCCGCTACCGCCGCCCCTCGCCGTAGTCTAGAGCCGAGATGGGCAGCTCCCCCCCCCGCCGGTGGCAGCAGCCGTCCGCTGTGGTGCGGCGCGATGGAAACGCGGTGCCGGGCCCCGAGAATTGCGCAGTAGCCTGCCTGTAGGGAAGGGGTTTGGCGGGTGTAGGGGGGGAGGTGGGGAGAGATAGGGGGGAAGGTAGGGGGGGGTAAGGGGGGAGGTGTGGGGGGATAGGGGGGAAAGGTGGGAGGTAGGGGGGAAGGTGGGGGGATAGGGGGGAAGGTGAGGGGGGGTAGGGGGAAGGTGGGGGGGTAGGGAGGGAGGTGGGGTGGGGTAGGGGGGAAGGTGGGGAGGGGTAGGTGGGGGGTTAGGGGGACAGTGGGAGGGGGTGCGCACGATGTCAGGGGTTTGGTTTGATGCGTTTTCCCCATTTAAGTGATCCGTCCAAATGTCCAAATTGACAACAAGCAGTTGGCGGAGGTGGCTGCGTGTGGATGGGCGCGAGCCACACGCCCCGGGCGACGAGAACCTCGCTGGGGCGAGAACGCGTCGTGCGGAAACGCGTTCGGCGGCAGCTTGCCGGACCGCCTTTCCCCCGCGTGGAACGGAGGTGAGGACTTTGGGCCGCGTCGTCGTCTGCTTCCATCGTCATTTGCTAAAGTGTTGCGGCTGCTCGCTCACTTCGCTCGCGGCCAACTGGGCGACAAGCGAATAACCCCATCACGATAGTTCAGGCCGTGTGAGCGCAGACAATTGTGCTTTTTGGAGAGATGGTTCATCCGCAAACCGGATTATCCACCGATGGATGTAATCGAGAGTTGGCCGTGGGTAATGAAGAATAAAAATTTACAAATACAACTGCAGCAGTCAGTCACCAGCGTATTAAAAACGAATTCAACATTTATTTATTTTTCAGAAGAGATCTGGCATCACCAACGAGAGCTCAAAGCGAGCTGTGCACTGTCACAACCGCGGCATAGCCCACGATAAGAGACTAAATATATACATATACATACAATTGTCAATAAATTTATTTGCACAACGAGTCTTCACACTCAGTGGGGCTCTCCTGAGCATACAAAGGGACGTGATTTATCCAGATTTTAAGTTTCCGTGACTGCAGGGATCCATACTCTTTGGTTCTTTCGGTAAAGTCACGTAGGTAGAAAATAAAATAAATTAAATCACGACGTTTCGGGCGCAACACAAGCGTCTGTCATCAGGTGGGACAACCACAGCGAGAAACAATTGCTGAAGTGGGCCCACTTTTGCTGAAGTGACTTTACCGAAAGAACCAAAGGGACGTGATTTATATTCCCCTTCATTCTGCCGGAACTTGTTGATGCTTTATTAATTTTAAACAAGTAAACCCGTAAAAACAAAGATTTTCACTATAAATCCTTTATATGCGTGGCATCGGGGCGGCTAGAGTCCTCCCGTCCTCTGGCTTGAGATGGCTGCCACCTATGGGTCAGATGATTGTCTGGCAGCATTAAACAATTGGTAATTAAATATTTTAAAAAAATTCCCTAAACAGTGTAAAATTTAGGAAATATTTTTTCACGAAAATGCATTGTCACGCACAACGAGTCTGTGTGCAAAATGTCAGCTCGATTGGATCACGGGAAGAGGGTTAAAAAACGACCGAAAGATTTGCACGGTCCTAAGCAAGCAAGCGAACTTAATATAAAGGATTTAAAAACTAATCAATAACGTGCCAATGAGCAAACATGCATTTCCCCGCAGCTAGTTTGCATGGAAGTTGTGTTTAACAGCGATACTAATAATACTAAAGTGTGAGATATTTGGCATTCGCGCCTTTCCTAGAGCACATGGCGATGCTTCACCGACGGATATAAACAACTCAGCACATTCGTCACAAAGGCTGCCTTGAAAGACAAAAAAATATATAAAAAGCATGAAGTGTTATTGATTAAAAAAATCTATTCGGGACCACAGTGTTAATAACGAACGTGCTTAGTTTTCATTAATTGAGCTTGTGCGCCAATACCGACGCAGCAGCAGCGTCGGCAAATATTTAGTTTAATTTTGACAGATATGATCTCCCGGTCAATTTGTCGCTATGTGTGTAACCAATTTGCGTCATTAGTCACATCTCTACGGTCATTGATTTCTGGCCACGGTTAACATGGGCGATGTGTGATAATGCGTGAGTGCTCCCCTCGCTAAACCCACACTGAACGGCGCGGCGAAGTTTGTTCATAATACCGTGGCGTGGGGATGCCTTCACCCAGCAGTGGATTGATAACATGAGAACTTCTCCCGCATACGCCGACACATCAATGGACCTGCTCGGTTCGAATGACGTTCGGAGGGGGGTGGGTAGGCGACCTTTGCCGTTCACTGCAAAGCGGTGGGTGGGAGGGGGGGGTCCTTCCGATGCGAACCATGAACCGCGCGCAGCAACAAATCGGCAGCGTCCGTCCTCCACGCGACCACGCGGTCAACTCCCCCGAGCGGCGGACGTGAGTGGTGCGGCCGTGAATCCCAGAGGGCCGCGAGAGAAAATACGCGGAGGTCGGCGAGAGCGCTGTAACCGCGTGAGCCCCCGCACGACAAGGTTTGGTGGAAGACGCAAGGACCGAATTGTAACCGTCCGCTGAATGATCACGAGCGAAGACCAGCGCGCAGTACTCGCTCGCTCTCGTGCAGAGAGAGCGGGGAACGACTGAGAGGTGCGAGGTGGTGGAACCACAGAACAGCGGGAAGCCAGGCGGTGCGAGCCCACGCTATCAACAATTTCCCGAGTTCTGCGGTCCTCTATATACGAAGGTGTTGCCGGGCAATTAGTGATGAGTGTATACGCGTGGAAGAAAACCGGAGCAGCCGGAGAGATGTGAACTGGCCAGGTTGGAAAAATACATTGCGGGGACATCCACGAGTAAAAATGTAACTGACACGTAAACATTGCTACCAGTTTACAAAGGTACAACATAATGTGCGCTGTATAGTATCGGTTTGTAAGCCGTTCATGGAATGTATAATTCTCTCAACGACTAGGCAAAGAATGTAACACAATGTCGATGGTCCGTTGTATGGTTCGTGAAGCAACCGAAAGAAAAATGCGTCAATAACTCCAGGTTGCAAACGAGCCAAAATAAAAAATTAAATGCGTTATCATTTTCTCCGCATGATAAGATGCTTAGATAAAAATATGACGAATTACAAAAATAAAAATGTGGGTCACACAGACGCACACAGAGACACCTACTGGATTACAAGATGCACCCCAACTTTTAGCTTTATAAAACATAGAGGGGGGGGGGGGGCGGGAGTTGGATAAGTGTGTCATAGTTTGGAGAAATCGCTCAACTGTAGCCATATTCATGGCAAGTGTGCTGCAGAAAGTCCCCCAGGTGATGATGGATGGATGGACGCGGACAAAAGGATGGCGAAGACGAGAGGGGATTGACGTCGAGGAATTAAGTGGACTCCCAAGACCCCTCAGACGAGCAGACGACAGGGAAAGTTGGTCATCCAACAGCAGCCTCTCTCGGGAGAGAGACAGTGCAATTGATTTAGTGATTCTCCAGCCAGCTCACCGCACCAGATAACCCTCACGCACGAAGCGCACAATAAGACGGTGATTAGTTTGTGTTAGAGGCCGTCCATAAATGACGTCACGCGATTTTGGACGATTTTTGACCCCCCCCCCCCCCCGTCGTCACACGGCGTCACAAAAAGTCAGACCCCCCCTCAAATATGACGTCACAAAGCTCTGCCTCCCCCCCCTAAAACAATATAAAACATGCTTCAAATCGCTTTAAACTATTGTCATTGTAGTGCGTATTTAATGTGGCGCTGCACTCTGATGTTGTTGGAGAAAACATTTATTAAAAAGTCTATTTAATTAAGTAGAACGTGTTGTCTATGTTTATTTAAAGTTGCGCATTTGATGTGACGTCACATTTCTCAAACAACCCCGCCCCCCCTCGTCACACATCGTCACAAATGTCTGACCCCCCCCCCTCCCAGGTGCGTGACGTCATTTATGGACGGCCCCTTATGCTCCATATTATGTTTGTGTATGGAACAAGAAAGCCCACCCCGATGTAACAGTGAAGAAGGCAATCGCCTATAACCATGCGGCGGTTCGCCAGCCATTGGTTTGGTTCAAGTAAAAGTCGGCCTGCTGACGAGAAACTGAATGTCAAAACCGCTCCACATATGGCTCAAGTTATACCCAATGCTGCAGGAAACGATGCACTCCTTCCCCAAGAAGCCCTGTGTAAATTGTTTCTAAATATATAGAAAGGAGGCCTTGTCTATTCTTATTTAACTCGCCTCGTGCCCGTCCAAGGACGGGTGAATTGCGGTAAATCTGAAACTTGCGAGCGAAAATCAGACCGCGACGTGATGTATTCATTGCATGAATGCGTGTGCAAGTTGTAAGGGCGCGGTGACACAGACCTATTTCATTTTAAGGTCATAATCCCTTGTTCATCACGACATCCTTTTAACTTTGATGTCTCAATAGCGTTACGGAGATCACGTGACGTGAGGGTTCTGCCTTTGTAGTGAGGGTTGTGAGTTGACGCCGAGGAGGGGGGAGGAGGCGCTTCGCCCCCCCCCCCACGTGGAGTGACGTCAGCCGCTAATTATTATTAATGGGGGGGGGGTCGGTTCATTTGGAGGTCGTCACCTCTTCATGATTATTAATGAGGGGTTCTGGTCGATGTGGAGTGACGTCACGAGCGTTAAGGACATTGCTGGGTGATTATAGTCGGTATCGTCCCCCAAGTGTGAACGTGGGGTGATGGATGCGGGTGGCCACGTGTGCGGTGTCGCCATCAAGGACTTCTTTTGCGCCCTACGCGAGTCACGTGGTGCCGAGAGGGGGGTTTTTGGAAGGGAGTCTGGCACGGCCGCAGTGTTGTGGTGTGTGTAGTGGTGTATGTTGTGATGTGTGTGGTGGTGTGTTGTGGTGTGTGTGGTGTGTTGTAGAGTATTGTGGTGTGTTGTGTGTAGTGTGTTGTGGTGTGTGTGGTGTGGTGTGTGTTGTGGTATGTGTGGAGTGTTGTGGTGTGTGTGATATGTGTGGTGTGTTATGGTGTGTTGTGGTGTGTTTTGTGTTGTGGTTTGTGTGGTGTGTTGTAGAGTGTTGTGGTGTGTGTGTGTTGTGGT